TGTAAGCCCTTCAGTGCATGATGTTTTCAAAACCTTCAGGTCATCCATAAGGCCTGCAGTGCAGGATATTTTCAAAAAGCCTTCGGGAGCTTTTTGATATTTTCAAAACCTTCGAGTCATCTGTAAGCCCTTCAGTGCATGATGTTTTCAAAACCTTCGGGTCATCCATAAGACCTTCAGTGCATGATGTTTTCAAAACCTTCGAGTCATCCATAAGACATGCAGTGCAGGATGTTTTCAAAAAGCCTTCGGGAGTTTTTTGATATTTTCAAAACCTTCGGGTCATCTGTAAGCCCTTAAGTGCATGATGTTTTCAAAACCTTCGGGTCATCCATAAGACCTTCAGTGCATGATGCTTTCAAAACCTTCGAGTCATCCATAAGACCTGCAGTGCAGGATGTTTTCAAAAAAAGCCTTCGGGAGCTTTTTGATATTTTCAAAACCTTCGAGTCATCTGTAAGACCTATAGTGCAAGATGATAGGACTTCTGGACAGAATGTTTTCAACATTTCCATCCTACTCAAAAGAAGTCAAATGAAAAATTATTGTTTTTTTTTCTTCGTCTTTGCTCTATTCTTGTTAATACAAAAATGAGCAAATAGGGGCAGCTGTAAACACTAATTTTTCATTTTACTTAAATTACTTAAATTATTATTTTTAAAATTACTATTATTATTATTATTTAAATATTAATATTATAATTATTTATTATTATTATTAAATAAATACAAATATTGAAACAAAACTCACAACCCGGATACAGAGAAAACCCTAGGGTTTCTAACCCTAGCCCAGCCGCCAGTTACTCATCACCGTTGGATCTGGAGAGATCCAACGGCCACCAATAAGCCAGATAAAACCCTAGGGTATGATACCCTAGGGCCACGTCCCAGCCGCCGTTTCAAGAGTTCCAGCGAGTTCCAGCCGCCCCACGCCCACACTGCCGACAGTTCCACTACCAAGTGACCCAACCCGCTTCAGACAAGACGCCGCCGCCTCGCCAGAATGCTCCAAAAGACCCAGATGGCTACCTACGTTGAAGATCTATGGTGAGTCACCGCCATAGCTTGGTGACTCATCAAAGACCGCTCCATTACCCGGTCCGATGAACGTCTCATCGAAGCTATAAAGCCTCGGTTCACCTGCAAACAAGAAAAAAAAGGCGAGCAAGAACGGAGAGACCACGACAGAACCCAGCAAGACACCAAACAACAAGCAACCATTCGAAAAACAAAGAGAAGAAAGTGAATAGACTTACCCTCGGAGAGCCCAAACGACGCCGGAACAATCGGTAACCGAAGGTAATCTTCAGTTTATTTTAGATCTAGAACTATTAAGGGATTTTTAGGGGTAAATAAGGGAGGATTCGGTTTGAGGATCGAATAAGCTTTGATTTGGAGGATTTTGAAAATTTTCGACCATCACGTACGGTGGCCGGCGATGGCCATCGCCACCGGAGTACGGTGGCCGGCACGGTTGTCAGATTCTCTCTGTTGAGAGAATCTAGAGAGAAAGCAGAGAACTCTGGTTCTCTCATTTAGAGAGTGAGAAGAAATGAGATAGATGAAAGGATTTAAGGCCGGTTTTTGGGTTTAAATACCCTTCCCCGAACGACATCGTTTTGGGGAGGGGCCTGTGTGTAATTTGGGAAGGGTAAAACCCTTTCCGCAACCATTATATATTTGTTTGTTTACAAGTTAATCACTTAAATCAACTTTAAATCCTTTTAATTCGATTTTTAAATTTTGTTTAATTTATAATTTAGTCCCTTATATGCTTATATATATATATATTAGGTAAAATAACCTATTTATCCCCTATTATTTTAAGAAATTTTATTTATATCCCGAAATTAATTAACATAGGTCAAATTACACTTTTAAATACTTAGTTTTCATAATATTTTAAATTAGAACATTTAATTTTATAATTTATATTTTAATCATTGTTATTTTAATTCTTTTCATTTTTGACCATTAATTTTAATATTTTTATAATTAAATTCTATAAAAGCATATTTTTGTTTATTTTAATTTAGTATATATATAATTATTTTTAGTTATTTATATATATATATATTAGGATAAGATATGGCAATGATATGATTTTTTTTTTAAATCTAACCTTTTCAAAGATAGTAATATACTGACAGACAGGTAATGATCATATTGACTTACTGATAGCATGATTGTCAATAAATTGATTAATAAATTTATATTATATGTATATAAGGTATAGAACTAAATTAATATAATATTGTTACTATATGCACGTGATATGCATATTGTAAATAAAAATACTCATCATTTTTATAAAATCTTCAAGAAAGATTATGTATCAATAAATTGTTTTTTATTTAGAATTTAGTGTTTAAATTTTATTTTAATATATGTTATATTTATATATATTTAATTTTGTTTTATTTAAATTATTTTCTTAGGAAAAAATATTATTTTTAATTTCAAATATTAAGAAAGGGCAGTCTTAAAGCAACTAGATGTCCTATTCTGGTATTTTAAAAATAAATAAATATAAAAACCAATATATATATATATATATATATATATATATATTGTTTTATTTAAATTATTTTCTTAAATTATTATTTTTAATATTTATTTATTTTTCAAATATTAAGAAATGACAGTCTTAAAGCAACTAGATGTCTTATTCTGATATTTTAAAAATAAATAAATATCTTGATTATAAAAATATATACTTCATTATTTTTAGGAAAATTATTATATTCATATTCTTATTTATTTATTTATTAATATTAAAGAAAAGACAGTCTTAAAGCTATTAGATGTTCTTTTCTGATATTTTAAATAAATAAATATCCTATTTACAAAAACCCTAAATATATTTATAAATACATATATATATTTAATATTTTTTTTCTTAGAAATATCATATTAAATTTAAAATAACACGATTGTAAATTAAATTCATATTTGAATTCTTAAATTCTATTATTAGAGACAATTTATAATCAACATATATCAATTTTGGGTGTTGTGGGGGTGCTAATCCTTCCTCAAACGTAACCGACCACGAATCCCTTTTTATTTCTAAAAAAGAATGAATTTTTGGTTAAACGCGGACCAGTTTATCTTTTAACTGATGTTTTCTTAAAAACTCTTTTAAAAGATGATTTTTAGGTATTCGACCTACCTGACCCAAAAGGTCGATGGCGACTCCGAAAGAATTTTTTATCAAAATCATTTTTTATCCACATTACTTTTTCGGCAAATAAAAATTTTGTGCCCGGACGAAAACCGGTTACGACACAGGAACCAAAATCAACCACAAAGGCTAAGAGCTTCCACATAATAAGGTTGTAGAGAAACAAGCTTCGAACTCCTCCTTTATGCCATTTAAGGCTCATCTTGTCGACATAGACCATCTGAACCTCCAACTCCAAAAACAATGAGCATATGCGAGTCACCTTCCAAAACTTCTACTGTCGTAATCTTCCGAAATTAGAGCCACTATTGAGCCATTAGACTCAAAACCCAATTCTTTCCCGAACTGCAAGGAGTTTGTCTCTTCCTTCTTTAGACTCTGCCCCAATGCCGAAAATTCCAAATCATAAAGGAATATGTCTGCAAGAACCGCGCGAAGCACCTTCTTCTGTTTATACTTGCTTCGGCAGTGCAAAGTCTTCTTTTGAGGAGCAGATTTTTTATCATGAAAAGTTTGGAGAGAGGTATACTTAAAATAATTTTCCTCCTTTGCTCTGTGTTTCTACCTGGAACTGTGCGAGAACAAATCATCCCTCAAATTTCGTGCACTACCTTTGATGGACAAATCAATTAAAAAATCTTTCATTCCCTCATTAGCACGTGCAGTCATGTTGTTGTCATTTTTAATTTCTCTCTCCTCATAAACCAGCACTATCTCGTGTAATTCACCCTTAGAACTTTTGAAAGCACAATTATTTTTAAGGTCCACATTACTCACATCTTCCACCACCTTTGTCTCCACTCGACCATCCAACATGGAGAATTCTACTAAATAACCCATCCCCTCAAAAGCACGTGCAGACACTCTACTTTTCCTTTTGTCATTTTCTGTCTCTCTCTAACGTCGAATCTTGCTTCAATAAAATTTGATGGTTAATTATATTTAATTAATTAACAAAAAATAAGGTGGTGAAGATTAATTAGGAGATTAGTCTTATAAAAGAATGCACATTTTAGTTAATTTTTGTTTGAACAGATGGTGGTGTTCCAATTTTGATAAAAATGTTTGCCTACGATTAGGACACAAATCTCGGATATAACGAAGTGCCTTAACTAATTCACATCACCTGTTTACACCAGCGTATTAAAATAATGGGTAAACTATATATTTGGTCACCTAATTATTGTTATAATCCTGTTATAATTATTAATTATTTCTTTTTTCAAATTATGCTTAACATTACATTTTAATTTTATTTTAATATATACGGACCACTGTTAAAAATAATTTCGACCCAGGGGCACTTCCCCATTTTTTATTATTAAAAAAATCTATGGGTAAATCCTAAATTAAAGCTCTTAATTTTAATTTATTTTGATTTTACCCCCTCATTTTTATGATAATTATACTTTGCCCCCTCATTATTTATGGTTAATTATATTTTACTCCTCTTGACTTGGAATCATGGCTCCGTCCTTGTGTTGACGTGATTTTTTTTCAATGATGAAGTGAAATTACTTTATGGTGTTATATCAACATTATCATTAATTTTTTAACGGTGGATGAATAAAATAAAACAAAATGTAACATTAGGTATCATTTTGGAAGAAAAAAAACATTTGAATGATCAAATTAGGACTGTATGAATAGTTAAGTGACTAAATACTTAGTTTTCCCTAAAATAATGTACTGATAACTTCAACAAAACAGTTGCTTCCTTTGCTTCCCTTTTTGTAATTTGCTTTAAAAATCATTGAAAAGCCACTATAATTAGAAGTATACCCTCTTTTTCACACGGTTTTTTGTTGCCTCAGCTGTGGTGGGAGTCGGTTTCATAGCCAAAGGGATAACCATTGAGAACTCAGCAGGACCGAGCAAACACCAAGCCGTGGCATTAAGGACTGGCTCCGACTTTTCTGCATTTTATAAATGCAGCTTCGTCGGCTACCAAGACATTCTCTACGTCCATTCCTTTTGGCAATTCTATCGCGAATGCGAAGTGTACGGCACCATCGACTTCATCTTTGGAAACGCGGCCGCGGTTTTCCAAAGCTGCAATTTGTATGCTCGTAACATTTTCGCAGCACAAGGAAGGGGAAGACCCTAACCAAAACACCGGCATTTCGATTTTGAACAGTAAGATTGCCTCCGCCGCGGATTTGATACCGGTGAAATCATCGTTCAAGACGTATTTGGGGCGACCCTGGAAAGAGTATTCTAGGACTGTTATTATGCGTTCGTACATTGATGACTCGGTCGATCCTGCCGAATGGTTAGAATGGAATGGGACGTTTGGTTTGAGTACACTTTATTATGGGGAGTATTTGAACAGAGGGCCAGGGTCGAATACGATTGCAAGGGTAAATTGGCCTGGTTATAGGGTCATCAATAATGCCACTGAGGCGAGTCAGTTCACTGCTGGGGCGTATATACAAGGAAATGATTGGCTAAATTCTACTGATATTCCATTCTCTCTCGGTTTGTAAATCATTGGCAGTTCATTTAAAGACCTGCTCTTGTTTTTATAAGCAATATTTTAAATCTAAATTCACATGGTGGAACCATGAAAAATACCGAACACTTGGATTCCGACGCAGGCAGGGGCAGCGCAAAACAAGTTACCTTAAAGTTGATGTACTAATTTCTATTAGGACATAATATCATCTTGTCATTTAATATTGTTATGGTTATCAAATTAGTTATATTATGGTCACTTATGTTATTAATTTTTCACAAAATGATCTTTTGAATATTAATTCATGTTGATCCCTGATTTAGAACTTATTGGTAACTAGAAATAACCATTTAGGTATATTAATTTGGTAAACGAAATTGCATAAGCTTAACAAAAAGGTACATGAAATCTACTAGGGTGCTCAAATTTTGCATATATGATAATTTGACGTGGTCTTGATGCTTAATGCATGTGTTGTGATATTTGATATATGTTTGATAAGTGATTTGAATCATTAAAAATTGTTTAAACATGGTTAGGCCAAGCAAGATAAATGAATCCTCTTTTGCATAATCTTCATCCTTTTGTTATACACTCATTACCAAAAAAAAAAAACCAAAGAAGCCAAGCAAGTAGAGAATACACTTTTGTAAAGATAAATGAATGAAAGGATTGGCAAGTTTCATATTATTTCATATGAATGAACTAGTTTCCCTCCGAATAGTATAATCTCAGCTTAGTGGTTGGTGACGAATTTATGAAAAAATTCATAAAATACTTGGGGTTAAATGAAATGTACAAAACTTAGTTTATTTAATTCATCGATTACTTATCCTGGCAACCGTGTGTCGGTGCAGATTCTTATTTCATGAGAAAAACAAAAGAAACAGTGTTAGAGAGATAATTAGGTTGGAGTAAGCAATTGGCAAGCAAAGCTAGCACCAGTACCACCAAACCTAACCAAAACCATGTCTGCCGGTTTTCTGTATGTTGTTTTCGAACATCCATGACCGCAGGCTCCCCAGTTTCTTTGTTGTTGTCTCTAGCAGAATCATAATATGGTTCTCCCTTGTTCGGTTTGCCATCCTCAATGGCTTTCATTTCGGATTCTAGATGGCTGAGATCGATTTCTTTGGGTGCAGATGAGATGAAAGTCATAATCTCTGCTGGCCAAATCACCTCCATGTTAGGTTCTTGGGAAGAGCTTCGTGTTCCTTCTGAGCTCTCTTCATCTAACTCAGCAGCATTCTCACCATTCCCATCCTCTTCTGCCTCAGTTGAAAATGATGATTGCAAGGTCGAATCTTCTTCTTCTTCTGTTGGAAATGATGATTCCTTTGATGAATCGTCCTCACCAAGTAATGAAAAAGTCGGTCTCATTTGTGAATTTTCTTCCTCTTCGACTGCTGCTGCTTCTGGTGGTGGAAATGATGATTGCATGAGCGAGTTTTCTTCTTCTTCTTGTTTATGTTGTTCCCCTTCTGAAATTGATGATTTCTCTTCTTGTTTCGACGGCGAAGACGATTGCGGTATCGGCTGCTCTGCATCTACATGAGGTGCTTCATCGACTACCATTATTTCGATGAATTCCATCTGTAAAGAGACAAGTCTCTCGTTATGGGCATCATCCACTGGATTGTTTTCATTCTCACCTACCGGCTCTGAAAGCTCTTGAATATCTCCATAAACACCTGTCATTTCATTGCTTTCTTCCTCAGTGTCGTCGACGAGCGTCTCTTGCTGAATAACTGAAGAATCCTCCATACTTTCGGATTCAATTGTATTTTCCTCCTGAATAAAACATGTTAAGTGATTTTCATAGCAATTAAAGAAAAGCATAGAATTAACATAAGCATCAGATCAATGTGGGTCTTTTTTTTTACCAACGTGATCAAACTTTCGGTCGAGACCAATTCTGAAGTTTCGATTTCGGTGACAGCAGCATTTGACGTTCCGTTATTTGTGCAGCTGCAAACAAATTACCCTCCAAATAACATCATTCACAACATCAAACAAGCCAATAGTAATGTTAAGAAATAGTATATACTAACCATGAAACTTGATGCATAGTTGAAGATGGCTCATTCGGGGTATACCACATCCCTTCACTTGTATCGTCTTCTTCGGCACAAGACTCATTAGCTGGCTCCAGCGCCGGCGCAGGTGCTGCCACGTTCGTCGTGTCATTGTCCGGGTCCTTATTGCTATCTTTCTTGCCACCTTTGTTCATTGAAAATGCAGCTACGAGGCTTGCAACAGCCAAGGCACCACCCAACGCAACCACCCTTTCGATACCACCGCCACCACCACCGGCGGCATTCATGATAATTGGCCGAGCTCTATTTCTACATTGTTTACAACTCTCATTACGTTTGTCCATAAGTTAATGTTTTGTGTTGTGTTATGATTCAGGGGGTTGAAGGGAAAATGGGAAAGGGAATGATTGTAATATTGAAGAGAGGAATGGTGGGATTGACCATGGAAACAGTATGTATCGAAATCGGAGGTTGAAGCGGACATTCCCTCCTGATTCGGCAATTCGGCATCTTAATTTTGCTTCACACCCGTTCATTACAATAACTATAATCAGGAGAATATAACTCTACCCGTTCATTATTTTCTCCAGAAAATTAATTAAATAAACATTGGTAAACCAACCAAATTCCGTGTATAAGTTAATTTCATACATGTTCCATCAAATTATTTTTCGTTATAAAATAACATTTTAATATTCCAATTCTGATTTAAGTATCAAGTAAACTTCCAAACAAAAAAGTTCTTAATAGATTGTGTAGGGGGACTGTTAAAAGTTTCAAAGTTTGGTAAATGTTTCTTTGAAAAATGTTTTTCAAAGTTCGGTAAAATTTTGGTAGATGTTTGTTGAAAATAGGAATGGGTAAATTCACTTTAGTCATTGCACTTTAGGGTATTTTCAAAGATTAGTCCCTAAGTTTCTACTATAAATACCCTTACCCATTTAGCTTCAAAATCATCCCAAAACATTTCTTTCTTCATATACTAGAGAGCTTTCTTGTGAGTAGTGAGTGTTTTGTAAACACCTGTAAATTTTCTCTCTTAGTAAAAGATCTGCAGCAGCCCGGAGACGTAAGCACAATTGGCTGAACTCCGTTATCAATTTTCGGGTATTATTTTTCCGCTTTTATTTTGCATTCTCACTAATCTGGTTATAGGGAAATTACTTGTACTCGGTTTATTTTCCTAACAACTGGTAATCCGAGCTTTTGGTTGTGAATTTTGTCAATTTTTCTGCGAGGTTACTATTCATTACTATTCACGTGAATAGTGAATTTCGTGAATAGTGAAATTTCGGTCGGCGATACGAGTTTGTCGACAGTGGTGTTCTAATACACGGTGGTTCGCAAGAATTGTCAGAAACGATCCAAAAGAAGCCAGATTCGAGTGGAAGCGATGGCTGCAGATGAAGGGAAGGTGAAAATTGAAAAGTTCGATGGTGCGGACTTTGGCTTTTGGAAGATGCAGATTGAAGATTTTCTGTACCAGAAAAATCTTTATCAACCTCTCTCAGGAAAGCAACCAGAGGGCATGAAGAATGAAGACTGGGCTCTTCTCGACCGACAAGCCCTCGGAGTTATCCGACTGACGTTATCCCGCAATGTTGCTTTCAACATAGCAAAGGAAAAGACCACGGCGGGTCTTATGGCGGCTCTCTCCAGTATGTATGAGAAGCCATCGGCCTCAAACAAAGTTCATTTGATGAGGCGATTATTCAATTTGCGGATGGCGGAAGGGGCATCGGTGGCACAACACCTAAATGAACTCAACACAATCACAACCCAGTTGAGTTCAGTGGAAATTGAGTTCGATGATGAAGTTCGAGCTTTAATTCTCTTATCATCTCTACCAGACAGTTGGAATGCTACTGTTACAGCAGTCAGCAGTTCGTCGGGAAACAGCAAATTAAAATTCGACGATGTTCGGGATCTGGTATTGAGTGAAGAAATTCAACGAAGAGAATCGGGTGAAGCATCAACCTCCTCAGCCTTGCACACCGAGTCTAGAGGGAGAACTTCAGAAAGAAATTCAAATCGTGGCAGATCAAAATCCAGAAGGGGTAAATCAAGAACAGGAAATAAAGATTTTACCTGTTATAATTGCGGCAAGAAGGGTCACTTCAAAAGAGATTGCCGAGCACTGAAGAAAGATACCGGTGCACAGGAATCTGCCAACGTGACAGAGGAGACAGGTGATGCCATGATTCTAAGCGTCAACAGTCCGATTGAATCATGGATCTTGGATTCAGGGGCATCTTTCCACTCCACCCCATACCAAGAAATCATGGAGAACTATGTCAGTGGTGATTTTGGGAAGGTTCATCTTGCTGATGATGAAACCTTAAAGATCGTCGGAAAAGGAGACATCCGACTAAAGTTGCCAAACCAGACCACCTGGAAGCTGACAGGAGTGAGACATATTCCTGGCCTCAAAAGAAATCTGATTTCTGTTGGACAGCTTGATGGAGAAGGATATAGCACAACTTTTTCAGGCTGTGAATGGAAGATTACCAAAGGAGCACTCGTCATTGCTCGTGGTAAGAAGACTGGTACTCTCTATGTAACCTCAAATTTAGAGAATATCATTGCAGTAGCAGATGCTGATGGAAAATCAAACCTATGGCACCAAAGGCTTGGCCATATGAGCGAGAAAGGAATGAAGATACTTCTGTCAAAAGGGAAGCTGCCGGATCTAAAGAATGTAGATGTCGGACTATGCGAGGATTGCATCTTTGGCAAACAAAAGAAAGTCAGTTTTGCAAAGATTGGCAAGACACCCAAGGCAGAAAAGTTAGCGTTGGTTCATACTGATGTATGGGGACCATCCCCAATTCCATCTCTTGCGGACTCACTATATTATGTCACCTTCATCGATGATTCAACAAGGAAGATGTGGGTTTATTTTCTGAAGAAGAAATCAGAAGTCTTTGATACCTTCAGAAAATGGAAGGCCATGGTGGAAAATGAGACTGGTTTGAAAGTCAAGCGGTTGAGGTCTGACAATGGAGGAGAATACAGAGACAGTAGATTCAGAGATTTCTGCGCAAACAATGGGATCAAGATGGAGACAACAGTTCCCATAACACCGCAGCAGAATGGCGTAGCAGAGCGCATGAACAGAACTCTGAATGAACGTGTCAGAAGCATGAGGATACATGCCAGATTGCCCAAATTTCTATGGGCTGAAGCTATCAACACTGCAGCTTACTTGATCAACCGTGGGCCCTCAGTTCCTTTGGATGGCGGAATACCAGAGGAAGCTTGGAGCAAGAAAGAAATAAACCTTTCATACTTAAGAGTGTTTGGTTGTATTTCTTATGTACACATAAACTCTGCTGAAAGAAGTAAACTTGATGCCAAGTCCAACAAATGCGTCTTTGTTGGTTACGGTGGTGATGAGTTCGGTTACCGGTTTTGGGACCACGAAAATCGAAAGATCATCAGAAGCAGAGACGTCATTTTCAATGAAAATGTGATGTACAAAGATAGGTCAACCGCAGAATCAAGTAATACCGAAGCTGAAACAAAGGAATTTGCTGAGTTCGAGGAGATTTCTGGAAATGATGTTCAGATCAATCCTGAAGCAGTTCAAGAAGAACCAGGCACACCAGAACTGAGACGCTCCTCCAGAATTCCTAAACCAACCCAACGGTATTCTCCTTCTTTACACTACTTGTTGCTGACTGACAATGGTGAACCAGAGTGCTATGATGAAGCAATGCAAGTGGAGGATTCAGTCAAGTGGGAGTTTTCCATGAAAGATGAGATGGACTCGCTTATGTCAAATCAGACATGGGAATTAGCTGAATTACCACCAGGCAAGAAAGCGCTCCACAACAAGTGGATTTACAGGATCAAAGAAGAGCACGATGGGAGCAAACGCTACAAAGCAAGATTGGTTGTCAAAGGCTTTCAGCAAAAAGAATGTATTGACTACAATGAAATTTTCTCTCCAGTCGTAAAATTGTCTACAATCAGACTGGTGTTGAAAATTGTAGCTGCAGAGAATTTACATCTTGAGCAGTTAGATGTAAAGACAGCTTTCCTTCATGGTGATTTGGAGGAAGAAATCTATATGAGGCAGCCAGAAGGCTTCATAGAGGCAGACAAGAAAAACTTGGTATGCAGGTTGAAGAAGAGCTTGTATGGTTTAAAACAAGCTCCTAGACAGTGGTACAAGAAGTTCGATAGTTTCATGAGTAGCAGTGGTTTTATCAGATGCCAAGCAGATCATTGTTGCTACATCAAGAGGTTCGATAACAGCTTCATTATTTTATTATTGTACGTTGATGACATGCTCGTTGCAGGCTCAGACATGCAAGAGATTATACACTTGAAGCAAAAATTGTCGAAGCAGTTTGCTATGAAGGATCTGGGCGCTGCAAAGCAGATTCTTGGGATGAGGATCAAGAGAGACACAAAGTCGGGGACTTTGATGTTATCACAGGCTGAGTACATCAACAAAGTACTCTCCAGGTTCAACATGCAAGATGCTAAACCAGTAAGTACACCTTTAGGTGTTCATTTCAGACTCTCCAAAGACCAATCACCAAAGACGGAGGAAGAACGTGCACACATGGTGAAGGTGCCGTATGCCTCAGCAATTGGAAGTCTGATGTATGCCATGGTTTGTACCAGACCAGATATTGCTCATGCAGTGGGAGCTGTTAGCAGGTACATGAATAATCCGGGCAAGGTACACTGGGAAGCAGTCAAATGGATCCTCAGATATCTTCGGGGTACCACAAACAAAGCACTTTGTTTCAAATGTGGAGATATGATACTGACAGGCTATGTAGATGCTGACTTAGCTGGAAATGTCGACATCAGAATGAGCACTACAGGGTATGTCTATACTCTAGGAGGAACTGCAGTGAGTTGGGTTTCTCAACTACAGAAGATAGTTGCTCTCTCCACAACTGAAGCAGAATATGTCGTTGTTACGGAAGCCAGCAAGGAGATGGTTTGGCTCCAAAGTTTCTTGGAAGAGTTAGGCAAGAAACAAGAAAACAATATCTTGTATTGAGACAGTCAAAGTGCTATCCATCTAGCAAAGAATCCGTCTTTTCATTCCAGGACAAAGCACATACAATTGAGATATCATTTTATCCGGTCTCTTCTGGAAGATGGGATTTTGAAACTTGAAAAGATTAGTGGAGCTCAAAATCCGGCAGACTTGTTGACAAAGACGGTGACTACGGATAAACTGAAGTTGTGTTCAACTTCAGTTGGCATGCTAGAATAACAAGACCAGACATGCTGCTGCATTGATCGAGGTGTGAAGACATATTAAAATCAGTCTTCAAGTGGGAGATTGTTAAAAGTTTCAAAGTTTGGCAACCAACTTTGGAAAATGTTTTTTTCAAAGTTTGGTAAATGTTTCTTTGAAAAATGTTTTTCAAAGTTTGGTAAAATTTTGGTAGATGTTTGTTGAAAATAGGAATGGGTAAATTCACTTTAGTCATTACACTTTAGGGTATTTTCAAAGATTAGTCCCTAAGTTTCTACTATAAATACCCTTACCCATTTAGCTTCAAAATCATCCCAAAACATTTCTTTCTTCCTATACTAGAGAGCTTTCTTGTGAGTAGTGAGTGTTTTGTAAACACCTGTAAATTTTCTCTCTTAGTAAAAGATTTGCAGCAGCCCGGAGACGTAAGCACAATTGGCTGAACTCCGTTATCAATTTTCGGGTATTATTTTTCCGCTTTTATTTTGAATTCTCACTAATCTGGTTATAGGGAAATTACTTGTACTCGGTTTATTTTCCTAACAGGGACAAGGACCATCCATCACTTTCAAATAGTTCTCAAATTAATTGGGGTAAAATACACTCTAGTTTATTCAATCATGAATTTGATAATAATTTTTTTTAGAATTATAAATATGTCATATTATTATAAACATGTTTGTTAAAATTAAAATTGTAATTTAATATGACCTGGTATAATAATATTTTGACTCCCTAAACTTATACATTTTATCAATTTTATCTTAGTTCGAAACAATTCAATAAATTTAATCTTTTATATTTAAAAATTATATCAATTTAATCTTTTTCTTTGATATTGTCAAACCAAAAAAATCCATTATATCAACTGTGAAAATTGTAATCATCTCGTCTCAAAAGCAATGAAATTTAAATGGAAGTATTCCCAATTGTCATTCCTCTTATCATAAATCGAAGAAAATACAATAAAAATCAACTCAAAACCAAAATCATAAATCATAATAAAAGCACAATCATTGGTACCTTGGTATAAACCAAAACTAAGAAGTGAATGAATTTTAATGTTAATAGCCATCTGATTGTGATGTGTAGTAGAAAGGACCGACCCAGTACAACCTTATTTTCTTTTGGTTTAGGAGACGGTAAGAAGTAAGAAGAGCACCTCCAATCCCTCTGTTGACATCTGTTGGAACTTGACAATACTCTAATGGAGATTTTTTCAGAAACGCTTTGCACTGCCTAAGCTGCAACTTATCAGAAGGAGTCAAAGTTGCAAAGAAATACCCATTTTCATCAGTTTCACCGCTCAAGAAAGAGAAGGGTGCTGTCTCATAACCAGACTCATCGACAGCTAAACATGTTATCCTTGCAACAGCTCCTAAAACCTCATAAAACCAGCATCAGCTACAACAAGTAAAGCAAAAGTAATGTGTGATAGAGATATTACCTTGAATTGGTACTGCAGGTGATGAAGTTCCTGATTTACATAGAATGTGGCCTTCAACTCCGATGGGAAGTGGCTTCTCTTTTGCCCTTGCCGTTGATTTGTTAATGTCTGGGTGTGAGCCTTGACTGTAATCAATGGCGGATACGATGACAAGAGATGAAACGAGCAGCAGAGTGGCTGCAAAGAAGAAACGAGAGGGAACCATGTTTTCAATGATATGGAATTGCTAACTGAGACATACTTAATTAGCCCCACTTTATATAGATGAAAATGGAAGACGAAATGGAGATAGACTTGGTTGGTAGCACGACTGCAAGCATGGGAAATGTAGGCAACCTGGTGGGCGTAAACTGAACGTGATTGCATGTTTCTACTTGTTATCCACAGTTCTCCAACAACGTGATATCGCTGTTGCTTTTATCACTATACTTAAACTAATACATCGTTTATATCATTAAACTTTTAATTCATTTAATTATAACATTAAACTTTAGTTTTGACTTCAATTATGTCACTAAGCCTTAAAATCCAAATGTTGTGAAGACATAGACAAAACAATATCATTTTGGCACGGCTATTTATACTTAAAATAATGTCGTTTTAGACACATGAACTTTAAAAATATATTGATTTTACCACAAAACTTTTAAATCGTTCACTTTTTGGCACTACACTTCTTTAGTCGTCACCAACAATCAATCACCACACATCACTAGTCATCTTTCATGACAAGATTAGTACCAAAACGATCGTATTTTATTCATCTTTCTTTTCCTAAAATTGATTTTCCATGAACAAACAATACAAACCCCTCAAATCTAAAAAAAAACTCCCAAACCGCTCAATATTTTATTGTATTAATGTTACCAAAATTATATAAAATATTATATAGACATTGTACATTACATTTGATTATGTAGGTAGTGGTAGCCGAGTCTCTTGACATTGGGATCGTGCACCCAACTTTTCTACATTTGTTTATTTTATTCTCAATATCTATAATCTTAATCAAAACTCAATTGAAAAGTATGTTTGATCAATTTCCTTAAATATAGGCAACGGTGTCTAGCCCTGTTCTTCATCCACTCGTCTTTCTTTACTCTTAAAATAACAATCACATTGTAGAGTCATAGAACTAATAGTTCCACTGCCATGGCTCTCTCACGTCTCTCCTTGGCATTCTCCTTAATTGTACTGCCATTTCTAGCAATTGTTTCGGCTGGCGATTACAGTGATGCTTCATCTAAGTATGGTTTCGATGGAATACCGGCTGACAGCCCTCAGGCAAAGCCAGAAGAAGCTGAAGAGCCTCAACATGGCACCAAGCCAGTATACAATGAGAAGCCTGGTCATGGCGATGCTTCATCAAAATATGGTTTCGATGGAATACCGGCTAATAGTCCTCAAGCAAAGCCAGAAGAAGAAAAGAAGCCTAATTATGGCTCAAATCAATACACATACAAGCCAAAACCATATGGAACAAGATCAGAAGAAATGAAAAACCGTCTTTCCATTGCTGTTCAAGGGACTGTTTTATGCAAAGAAAGTTCCAAGTACTACCCAATTCAAGGTAAGGTCTAGTCTTGTTTGACAATTTGTAATTTGTATTGATTAAGTCTAATGGGGTTCTTCTGATTTCTCACTTTCTTCTTCTTCTTCATTGGCTCGAGTAGGGGCTTTGGCAACGATAGCATGTAAAGTTGTTGATGAGGTTGGGGTGGAGAAAACTGTCTCCATTTGCAGCAAACCAACTGATGCAAAAGGTTACTTCTTCGTTCCATTGTCTGATTTAGGCCGTGACAAGTCGAAGCTTAGAGAGTGCAAGGCGCATCTTAAAAGCTCTCCATTGAAGGCCTGCAATGTTCCCAGTAATGTCAACAAAGCCATTGAGGGTGCTCTTCTTTTTTCTTTCCGTGTTCTAAACGAGAAGAAGACGAAATTGTACTCGGTGGGACCTTTCTTCTACACCTCCCAAGCTAAACCAGCCCCTAAACATGGTTACTAAATTTGATTCCTTTCTTCTCCACTAAACAATCTAAATTCCTCCCCCCATTCCAATCTTGTGTTTTGAAGTTGGAGATGGCTATTTGAGTTGTTTCTTTCTGTGTTATTTCCTCCCATTTATTAGCTGAATATTGTTGTTTGATTGATGGTTTTATTACCTTGTTGCTCCTGTAGCAGCCTCTGTCAGAATTTTGTATCTTGTGATGAACTTTGCTCCATCAATAACATTTTGAATTAATATGTCTATATTTTTAGACCTGATTTACAGTTTTGGACTTGGGACTACATAGAACGACACAGCTTTAAAATATATTTTAATCACTGAAATATATCACGTACTTCTAATCTTGTTTGTGATTCTATGCTCAGGCACACAATTTTATGCTGAACTCCGTCCTGGGCCAATTTTTAATAAAAAAATAATATCTTTAACCTAATTTAATCGTAAGTTGGATTGAAGATGTCACATTGATGGATTAAATTATAATTTAAATCCAATTATAATTAAATCAGACAATTAAATATTCACTTACTCCATGATTAAAGAAAATAATCAATTTACATTTATGGATAGTAATAAGCAATCGTCATTAGCAGAAAGGATTTAAACCACTATTATCTCATAAATAATATGTCTGTTGATATCTAAAACCATTAAGGAGCATTGATATCAACCTTCTAAATGTCGAGACTTAACGTTTGCCGATGTCTAACAGTATACATTTGATTATATAATTGGATTTTGACATATTACCTATGTACTCTCGAGATAAATTTATATAATTGAATTTCTCTTGATTTTATTCTTGTAATAATAAAATCAAAGAATATAAATTTTATCTATAATTAAAGTATGATGTTATTTATTATATTGTGTTAGTTTGATTAATGTTTATATCATATCAAAGATTAAATATCATATTAATTATGATACGAATAGAATTTACATAATTTTGTGATATACATGTTAGTAGTACGTGAATATACAAGCATACTAAATATTAACATTCTTTTATCATGATATCTATTATAAAGTTATATTAGATTTAATATAATCAGGTGATTTTAAAAATGATATAATATGTTATGTACTAATTATTAATTGATATATGAAAAATGACGAACATATGATTTCTGAATGCTTTAAACATGTTCTATTGGGTTTATTTCATTCTTTGAATTGAATGAAATAAATATATCTTAAATTAATTGTTATTTTATGATAATTGTTTGATGGATTTTTTGTTTGATTTAACGTAACTTATCAATATAAAATTATTACTATTCGTGATTATAGAATATAATTCATGATTATAGCTGTGTCATTCTTTATGTAGCCCGGAGTCCAAAACTTTAAATCGAATCTTCTAAAAAGATAGAGAGATTGATTCAAAATGTTATTGATAGGGGCAAGTTTATCGCAAGATCAAAATTCTGACAGAGGCTGCTACAGGAGCAAGTTAATAAAATCATCATCAAACAACAATATTCGGCTAATAAATGGGAGGAAAAGGATCAACTCAAATAGCCATCTTCAACTTCAAAACACAAGATCGGAATGGGGGTAGGAATTTAGATTGTTTAGTGGAGAAAAATGAATCAAATTTAGTAACCATGTTTAGGGGCTGGTTTAGCTCGGGAGGTGTAGAAGAAAGGTCCCACCGAGTATAATTTGCTCTTCTTCTCGTTTAGAACACGGAAAGCAGAAACAAAAGCACCCTCAATGGCTTTGTTGACATTACTGGGAACATTGCAGGTCTCCAATGGAGAGCTTTTAAGATGCGCCTTGCACTCTCTAAGCTTCAACTTGTCGCGGCCTGAATCGGACAATGGAACGAAGAAGTAACCTTTTTCATCAGTCGGTTTGCTGCAAATGGAGATAGTTTTCTGCACCCCAACCTCATCAACAGCTTTACATGCTATCGTTGCCAAAGCCCCTACTCAAGCCAATGAAGAAGATGAAAGTGAGAAATCAGAAGAACCCCAGTAGACTTAATCGATAAAAATTACAAATTGTCAAACAAGACTAGACCCTACCTTGAATTGGGTAGTACTTGGAACCTTCTTTGCATAAAACAGTCCCTTGAACAGCAATGGAGAGACGGTTTTTCATTTCTTCTGGTTTTGTTCCATATGGTTTTGGATTGTATGTGTATTGATTTGAGCCATAATTAGGCTTCTTTTCTTCTTCCGGCTTTGCTTGAGGACTATCAGCCGGTATTCCATCGAAACCATATTTTGATGAAGCATCGCCATGACCAGGCTTCTCATTGTATACTGGCTTGGTGCCATGTTGAGGCTCTTCAGCTTCTTCTGGCTTTGCCTGAGGGCTGTCAGCCGGTATTCCATCGAAACCATACTTAGATGAAGCATCACTGTAATCGCCAGCCGAAGCGATTGCTAGAAATGACAGTACAATTAAGGAGAATGCCAAGGAGAGACGTGTGAGAGCCATTGCAATCTAATAATTATTGCAAGAACAAAAGAAAGAAAAGTGGATGAAGAATAGGGGCTGAGATCGTTGCCTATTTATAGGGAAATTGGTCACAGCTTAACATAAACAATGTAGAAAAGTCGGAAGTTGGGTGCACGATGGCAACGTGACTTCTAGACTTGCTTGGGTACCGCTACCTACATCTAATGTACATGAACACCTACATGAATGCTTCTCAACCCCTACGATAGTCGTAACCAAAGTTTTATAACAATAATACAAGAATACTAAATTTATATTATATCAAATTTAAAACAACTAAAAAGTATAAAAATTATTATATATTTTCTCAATTTTAGAATTATATAAAATATTAATAATATTTAAGGCCTTCAAACTTCTCCGAGGAAATTAACGTGATCCTTCAACTTTTTTGTACTCAATGTAACTGAGAAAAAAATCAATTTAATCCTTAGACTAACGATTAATCGTTACAACACTGTCACTTCACTGACATTGAGCTTCAAAACTTCAAAAGAAACTTGGGTAACAATCTTGAGCCGGTGTGGTAGATGCAATGTGCATAGAGAAAGTAAAAAGGAACCTTAATAGGCAGCTAAAAACCTGCCAAGGACATTGGTAAAATTAATGCTATAGCTGCAAATGATTCATTACATAATCATTTTCAATCCTACCAAAACTAAAGACGTGCAAAAATGATGGATAAAATAGAATTTTTCACTTCTAACTTCCAACACTAATTTTTCCTTTTCTCTCTCTTCAATCTCTTCGGGAAACGTTCTTCGGGCTCTAGAAGGACTTGAGAGAGCATATCTGACCAAAGCTTTTCAAATTGTGAGTAGAAACTTTCTTGAAACCAGTCAAGAATTTCTGAATGCAATGCCCTTAGATTTTCCTCCCATGTATTTCTTAACTGACCACAACTGTCGATCGACCATGTCTTGAACTTGTGTAAAAGATTTCCAACTCGACTTTGACCATATGATTCTGGCTTTAAAATGATATCAGGCGAGGCTGACATGAATTGCTTGACAGAGCTTAAGCACGGTAATACTTTGCCTTCCAGCAAAGCAAATGCAAATACTGTAGCTCGATGTTCGTTGTTACTGATCTGCAAATTATGCATCGGAAGTTGCCATAGGTGAGGCCCGAAAGTGGGAACCACCCAACTATATACTTCATCTGTTTGGGGGTCGTAATAAGGTTTAGGATCAGTAAGAGGAGCAGAGCAAGTGCAATGAGACTTCGCATATTTAACAAGCCAATCCGATTTCACACTAGTTGCCCCATGCATGTATGGCCGCTTTGTGTGTATTAGTCCACTATACACCAAGAACTCCGGAGCAGAACTTGAAAGAAATGAAGAGCGATGGAGAAAGACAGTTTCTTTAACCAGACAGGCTTGATATCTAACTGTATTTACTTTCCTATCGCCTTCAGACGATCTTGAAACTCCTCTAATGCGTTTGGCAACCCGATCAGCCCAGCCAGCGCAGATAGCTTGTCCTAAGAGCTCTTCCTCATTCAGTAAAAGTGGGTTCTTACTGGAAGAGACACTCCAAGAGTGCTCTACATCGTTCATGGTTCCATGAGTCCATAAGAAATCTTGTCCAGCATCAAAACGAACATTTTGATTAAAAACCAACTGAAGAAGCTGCTTTCTTAGCTTGGACATTTCCTCCATGGTTTTCAGATGTAATGCATTCTCATTGCAGAAGTTTACTTGGTTTTCTGAAAGCTCAAAACACTGTAATGCATAAGCAACTGTCAAAGTATCACTGCTAGGGTTAGAGAATTTAGCTCAGGACATATTGGCCAATTCTTTTAGTTTTCTTTTCTGTGATTTTTCTTTCTTGTTCAAAGCTTTCTCACTATCTAAGGGATTAGATCCATCAGCCGGCTTTGATTCATCATTTTGACTGTGTCTTTCTTCATACTGTATAACAAAAGGATTTGTTGAGCTCAACACTGCTGCGGCTGCAACTGCATATCCAAGAACCAGATTTTCCCTAGCATAGTTTTTCAACATTTTCATAATCTGGATAACAGTAAGGAGCATCCTTGAGTGGCGAGGACTCATTGGATAATATGCCATGGCTTTCCCCAGAGATGTCAACTTTCCGTTGCTGTCTAGTGCTTCAAGAGCTTTCAGACAACGCTCTGCTTCAACCAGTGCAGTGGGTCCTGGAGAAGTTGGGAATGGGAAATTTGCAACCTGAAAAAAATACAGAAAACATGACATAGATATTCATTAGCAAACAACTCCGCTAACCAGTGAATGTGGGTCGACTAGTCACCAAGCAAAGCTTGGACATGACTGTATCATAAGTTTGCATCGGCTAGAGCTAAAGAACGAAAAAAAGGTTTTTCTCATGGGGTCAAGTTTTGACAAAACAATACAAATATTTAAGTTCACCCATAAATTATCTCAAATAAGCACCATATAGACCCCAATATGAAACTTTTCTAAAGAGAGAGACAAACAGCAAAATAGATGCTAAGTTCACCTTATCAATGCCCATGGATTTCATAAGAAGAACAACACCATCAACAGGTATTTTAGATATTTCAGCGCAAGAGAAATCAGGAAGTATGTTACTAAAGACTGCAGAAGAATACAGACGATAACAATGGCCAGGACCGGTTCTTCCAGCTCTTCCTGCTCGTTGAGCAGCAGATGCTTTACTTATCCACTGTACCTCATACATTTCCATACCATTGGTAGGATTGTAATTCTTGACCTTTTCTCTCCCGGTATCAACCACATACTTTATTCAGGAATGGTTAAAGAGGTTTCAGCCACATTGGTAGCAACGACAACAAGCCGCTCTCCATCCTCCACCTCTTCAAATACACGAAGTTGTGCTGTTGCAGGTAGCATGGCATAAAGTGGTAGAACTCGTAATGAACCAGTATTGAGGCCTTTATTACCTTCACTAATTTTTTCAATGGGAGCAGAGGGTTGTTCTAAAGTGTTCTCTGGGTTGATAGAGAGAGCCTCAAGTCCCTTGGGATTAGAATTTAAACCATCTTTCCCAGACAAAGCTTCAAAAGCAGCCTTCAGTGAAGCAAGGCTTCCATCCCCTCCCAACACATCAACCAAGTTATCACCATCTCCCATGGATTTCTGATCCAATGTCTTACCATCCTCATCAAAAATTTCTAGTTCACTATCTGTCTCTGAATCATAAGAAGCATCTGAATCATCCTCATCATAATCATAGTGATCTTCATCATAAGAGCTGAACCTGTCAGTCTTCTGGTGAGTTGAGTCACCATTAATCTCAAATGCTTCACTAATATCCTTCATATTAATGCCCTCATCCAACTTTATTTGAGAGTAAGGAGTGGCCTCAGTACCATTGCCCCCTTTAGAAATTTTGGTCATTAAGTCCTTGGAAGCCTTGCGTAACCTTCGGCACAAGTATTCTACTTCTCTCTGTCCAGTGACAAAAACGAGTATGGCACCTGGTGGAAGCCTTTTATGTATAGACATGACCTTTTTAAAGGCTTGACCAATATAATCCACAAGCTCTGTTCTCTTTGAGAAATGTATTGTGACAGGATATTGTCTAGTAGGAACCTCGATTACTGGAGGAGGAATGCGAAATAACCTTCTCCCAGAAATAAAGTCTTCCATACGCAGTGTAGCACTCATCAGAACAAGGTTTAATGGAAATATCATGTTTTCAGGGCTTATGCTTTGTCCTGAAAGCACCATCTGTTGTTGCTTCTCATACAAATCCTGCCATAAACCACAAAGTAGTTCAGCAAAGATAAAGCTGAATATAAAAGAGAATAAATTATGTTTATTGACCCAAGGTCAAGCATCTTTCAAGTTTCACCTGACGAAGTCGAATTACGCGAGAAAGCATTCCAATAAGTATGTCTGTGTTCAAGCTTCTCTCATGAGCCTCATCCAGAACAAGGACAGAGTAGCGCTTTAATAGAGCATCATTCTGCACCACCAAATGTGAAGATATAATTAAAAATACAAAAAAGAAAACTAAAGGAAGAAGCAAGATATTTATTTTTCATGCAAAGTCATCAGGACTATCACACAGATAATAACAGTAATTTGAACTTGAATGGAAATAAAACCTGAACTTCTCGAAGTAAAATCCCGTCGGTCATAAACTTGATAGAGCATTTGTCTCCAATCTTCTTGTCATGCCTAACTTGAAACCCAACTTCTTTACCAAGATGAAGGCCAAGTTCAAAGGCAACTCGCTTGGCAGTAGCAAGGACAGCAACACGGCGAGGTTGAGTAACACCAATGACACCACTTCTAATGGTAGACTGGCTTGAACCAAACCCAGCTTCATAAAGAAACTAAAATAGTGGAAAACAATTAGGGTAAAAAAATATAATTATCTAACAGGGAACAAGTTTTTAGATCCCACCAAGTAGACATGATCATACACCATACAACCCCACCTGTGGAACTTGTGTGGTTTTACCACATCCAGTCTCTCCACAAATAATTACAGTCGAATTCTCATTTATAGCCTCCATTATTTCCTGCTCCATCATGACTATTGGAAGTTCCTTCCTTTTGTTCTCAATCTCATCTGGCCTTCTGACATGCACTACAGTTGGGGCAGAAAGAGGTCCCTGCAAAGATCGAAGTTTATTATGACAAGTCCAGTTGAAATCACATTTTAGGTCTCTTATTCAATCATTTCAATGAACCCTACCTCATGTCAAAATTCCTCAAATAAGACAATGACATAAAAACAAAGACAAACATACCAAAAAAAAGAGGAAATTAAGCTTGAAATTTTTAATTCAAGTAACATTTCTAAGTCCAACCCGTCTTGCACATGCTTTCGATTTTTTCATCATATATAAATATTTAAGCACTTCTAACTTAAGACTTCCATTTACATAGCAATTGACAACATAAGGCAAAAGGCTCGTTAAATATTAAATCTCAAATGTATGATACCTAACCAAAATATCACATCTATACAATTTCCCTTTAGATGCAGTTGTTCCTTCAAATGATATGTTAGACGTTTGAAATCCAACTCACCTTTGACATGGTGCTTTTTCTCCCATCATCGACCGGCAGCTTCGGAATACAGGTTTCCATGCCTTCTTCGAAAGCTGCATCACCATTCTTAAAGGAAACCTCCATGGTCGGTAAAGTATCAACATCACTGCAGCTCGGGGATAGGCCCTTACAAAAAGTCAGCTTTTGAGAAGATGACAGAGAGTCATGGGCCTGTTTTGCAACTTCCTTTTCTATTACCATGGATCGCTCAATGTGATTTTGACTAGTATCCTTCCTTAAGTTTAATTGCTCCAACTCAGTTTCAGGTTCAGAAGAAGAAGACGAATTATTACCATGATCCCATCCCTTGGAAGATTTGACACTATGAGGAACTTCCAAACCTGCTTTAGAAAATAGAATAGCTGTCCTCCGTTTTTCCCGTATTGTTTTAGCCTATTAAAGAAAATTTATGTTAACCATAATAATTATATCCTACTATTAAAATATTTGGTATAGACTCAACGATACAAACCTGACCAATAGTTTTTGAGGATTGCAGCAAAGAATATATATCTTCTGGAATCTTGTATTTCCTGAACATGTCAAGTGTTACAGTTTTTGTCAAACAGTCAATAACATTTCCCAACAAAAGACAAAGGAAGTAGGATATATTATTTAGAAAAGGGAAGGAAAAGTACTCCAATGTCTCAATGCTCGTCGATAGCAAAAGTGATTTCTCTTTCTCTTCCTGCACCAACAAATAAGAAGTCATCCGCCTAACACAATAAATGAAGCAAAGCAATTTGGTATCAATAATCAAGATAGGGCAAGAACCTCAATCTTCTTCAACTTTCTTATCTGAGATTTACTCAATTTGGGGTTTTGCTTCTCTTTAACCCTTTGAAGCTCCTGTGGACAGAAGTATTTAACCACAACTTCTTACTTTATACGATCAAAAGAAAAATCATAGGAGAGATTAAAGCATCCCTATCATTGGCATCCAAACTACAGTACGAACAAGGGTAAGATGAACCCATTCAAGCATTTGCTATCACTAGCACTATTTATACCTGATCCTTCTCTCTCCTTTTCTTGCTTCTTTTAGCAGGCAAGATTAAAGCATTGCTGTCGCTGGCTTCCAAACTACATATGCATGCAAACAGGATTCCGTTAATGTATACACTCTACACCAACACTAAGAAATTAAAATGAAACACGTTTTTTAATAATTTGGCAGAAAACAGACTGCAAGTTAAACATTTCATATACCTTAATATATCTTGTCCGATCATCAACTCTATGGGTGGGCAAGAATTTTCCATATTTCCACCATAATAATCAGATAAACCTGGAAAACAAAGTAAGCTACTTTCAGTTTTGGTAGTTATTATTCATCCCTTTTATATTCTATATTATATAAATACTGCTAAAAAATTATTAAATATAACAGAAACAAGGGTAAACAAACAGCGTCAATAGATTTACAAGAAGAAAAAAGACCTAAAAAATTAAATTGAAATGGTCATAGTTGGATTAAATTGCAGCGAGGCCAATATAGGCAAAAGCGTTTAAGTTGTCAACATTGTCGTTGCTGCTAATGCACAGTAGCAGTGACATCCGCCGCCGCTACGGACCTCAATAGCGGTGTGAACAAATTTCACATCAATAGCAGCAAAAATCCTCAGGGGCAGAGTACAGATGAGACAGAGGAATAGGATCGAAAACAGAATTAAATATAGCAGAGTGATGCAGAGACGGAGACCATAAAAAATCTCATGACTCGAATAGAAATAAATCTCCAAGTTAAGTTTAGGGTTTCAAATATTACCTGTCGTAAACTTGAAGGCAAAGGACCGGAGGAGGAGCAGAGGCTTAGGCGGCGGCGATGTGGGAATAAAGTTAGCAGTGGGTCGGGAACTACTTTATTTAATACTAACTTGGATAAACATACGTATCTTCCTTCTCGTGTTTATTTTAGGTGAAGGAGGCGATCTTAAACTTTAGTCGGAAAGATTAGTTTCGGCTGATAATGTGCAGAAATTTGTCGAGCAAGACTCATTTGGTCAGACTACTATCACTGAAACAATCCAGGTTATTGCCTCGTGTCTTTATGGCACGGACAAGGGAAATCGGAGGGTGCGACTTAGGCGGTAAGAACGATTGCACGGCAAGCGGCAGCCAGGCGGTAAAATTAACGGTGCTTAGGGCTATAAGAGAAGAAAGCAAGCGTCAGCTGGGCAGTTAGAAGAGAAGAAATAAAGGAGTCTGATGTTTTATTTTTTAATTAATGTAAAAAGGAATTTGATTTAAATATAATTTATGTCAATAATAATTTAAGTGAGTTTTACTTCCTTCATATTTTACCATTTATTAAATAAAACAGTATCATTATGTAATGTAATTTTTTATTTTGACAAAATATTGAATTAAATCATATCAGAATCAAATTTTTAAGATGAATTTAGATAAAATTTTAAAAAAATTATATGCTCAAATCATATCATATTTTGTTATTATAATGTCGGGTCGGATCCAAATTATGTTTTATTATCAAGAGAATTGGTATGCCTCAGAATTTAACGATGCCCTTTCTTTTATTTGGCATTTAACTTTCCTTCAATCAGTCCCTCAACAAAAATATGGGAGGCTTTCCCCTTATTAGTCAATCCATGGCTATTTCACTACACTAAATGCACAAACAATTCCATGCCAATGGGAAAGCCTGTGTTCCATTACCAGAACACCAAGCAAATCACGGTCGGATTCTGTCCGGCCGTCTCAAAATTAAAATCTACGCTAAAAAAAGCTTCAATCAGATGGTCCAATCATCTTCTTAGGCACCACAAGATTGTCGAATTCTTCGCATGTCAGCACACCACTCTTCAATGCTGCTTCCTGCAGAACATAAAGCACAGACAAGTATAGGAAATATTTAGCATTGCAGCCATCAAAAAACAGGATTAGGACAAACATTTAACGGCAGCATAACTGAGAGCTAAATTATTAAGATAGTTGTCGGAAACTACAACAAACATTCTACTGTATTAGGTGACGTGTCATTGCTAACTACACGGAGAACAAGTGAGTCTCACCTTCAAAGTGCATCCCTCCTTATGTGCTTTCTTGGCAACTGCTGCAGCGTTGTCGTAACCAATTTTCTGAAAGTAAAGACGTCATTAGAGATGTATTCAAAATGCAAAGACTCAGCATGGAACAAAAGATCCTAGATTGAAGCAGGGATGAAAACTTACAGGGTTCAAGGATGTGACAAGCATTAGAGACTGCAACACCATACAACATATGCTCATTAGCTTGGAAATTTATCATATGGTATCAAAATGTACTTAAATTATTCAGGATGTAGCACCGACTGACCTCATGCAGTAATTTTGAAATTCTTTCCCTATTAGCTTGAATCCCCTTAACACAGTTCTTTTCGAACGATGCAGATGCATCACCCAGCAATCTTAATGACTATATCAAAGAATGATGATCAAGCGTGAATGAAAATGAACATATTCCATATTACAGTAATGTTAATAAGCAACCTCAGTGGGAGAAAATTTCAAGGAATGTCAAGCATATGATTGTCAAATCTCAAATTCTATAGAATATTTTCTTTGCAAAACCTCACATGATTCGTATGCATTGTTTTCATAGTGTCTTAGGAAATAAAGAGATTTGGCCTTTCAAATGAGTAGTGCAGAAAATTAACATATTCAGTTTTGGAAGTGTTGAAAGTATATGCATGCAATTTTTCAATAGCTTCTGTAACAAAAACACATACATGCAGAAGTGCAGTAGCAATCATTGGCTTGAACACATTCAATTCAAAGTGGCCGTTTGATCCACCCACTGTGATAGCAACATGGTTACCCATTACCTGCAAGAAACTTTCCATCTTGTTATGAACTAAACAAATGAAGAGACAATATAACCACCACAAAATAAATTCTCCAGCTAGCCAATATCATCTGAATGTGAAAAATAATAGTAAAATAAATTTACCTGGGCGCAGACCATAGTAAGAGCCTCACATTGGGTAGGGTTCACCTTACCCTGAAACAAGATAACTTTCGGTCAAACTTACGAGATTATATGGGCAGAGAAATAGTCCAAGAGCAAATGGAATAGAAAGAAAAGAGGATTTTGACATTAAATGAATCAATAGAAATTGAGATGAGAATCTTACAGGCATAATACTGCTGCCTGGCTCATTTTCAGGAAGAATGAGCTCACCAAGGCCACATCGGGGACCACTGAACAAGGAAAATGCTGACACCATCAGAATAATGCTAAATCGGAAAAAAAAAAGTTATCCAAGCTGCAGACAAACCTTCCCAGTAAACGTATGTCATTAGAAACCTTCATCAGGGATGTAGCTATAGTGTTTAGGGCTCCACTGGTTTCAACAAAGGCATCGTGTGCAGCCTGATTAAATAAAAATCAATATTCATGCATGTTCGCATCACAAGTTAGGAGATATAAGGTAATAATCAATTCCTTCAAACTAAAATAAAATAGAAGAATAAATAAATAAAAACTTAATCAGATAGAGTAAAGAGATTCACCAAAGCTTCGAACTTATTTTCTGCTGTGACAAATGGCAAGTTTGTTTCCTCGGCTACAGCAGCAGCTATTTTTACATCAAACCTAGACCAATTTTATCATTGGGCATTGTCAAATTCAGTATGAGACAGTCTAAAGGTTGTGTTTAGCAGTTATGATGATAAATAATGCTCTCAGATAATGTTCATTCATAATAATTTCATTTTAAGGTTCGCATTTAGCAAACTTTGACAAATACTTCAGTCCATGACACAACAGATGCAGCCTCTATAATCTAAAAATAATACATAGAAAGTGTAAACATGCAATAGCTTTAAACAAACTTTCAATGATCAATGAGTATATCTGAGCATAAAGTATGAGATAAAACGCGAATTATAGCTTACAAGAGAAGTAGAAACTAGAATCACTAAGGGCCTGAAACTTAATAAATCAGGGTGTAAAATCAAAGCAACCAGGTAAAACAAATCAAGAATTAGGTATCAGAACAAATCAAACAAAAGAAAACCAACTAAAATTAACAAAGGAAAATAGACAAAATTACAAAATCAGATACGCATGCTTCAAGGCTAACAAACATACCCTTTCTTTGTATTCAATCCAGTTCCCACAGCAGTACCACCTTGGGCAAGCTGTCATATAGCACCCCTATTTGTCAGTAGTCAGAATAGGTTACAAGGAATAACATACAATCAAAATGGAATCATGTACCTGATACATGCGTGGAAGGGTGCACAAAACTCGATCAATTCCATACTTGACCTATAAAAATACAAAACCACAAAATAATTAGAACTTGTCCCTCATTACCATCCCTCAGCTAAGCATAATCAATCCCAAGGTACATAAAAGCAACTGCTAGATAATGAGCTTACTTGTGTAGTATAGCCACTAAACTCTTGACCAAGAGTCAAAGGTGTTGCGTCTTGAGTGTGAGTGCGACCGATTTTGACAATATCTTTGAATTCGACAGACTGGTGGAAACAACACCAAGAAAATTTGAACTTAAAGTTTGAACTCAACCAAGTTAAAAAGCTCACTGGTATGGGAGCAAACATAAAACACAATGGAAGAGTTAATATTTAATGGATTCGGTAGCATACATGTAGATTCAAAAGCAAAGTAGAAAAAGATAGATCGTCTTGTGGCTGAACATATTACTCACAATGATTCACCAGAAGAGACCATAATATTACAAACTAAAAGAGAAGATCATTGACAGGAGCCATGGTAAAATAACTAATCAAGGAGCCAAAGAGTTAAAATTCAAATAAGAAAATATAGGCATCAATAACTGGTCAGGGCTAGAAAAATCCCCTTTCTGGCAGTAGATGCCGATGTTTTAATTGATGTGAATAAGAATATGGGGGAAACAATGGCATATAACACACAGATCTCCATTTAAGGATAAAAGAAAGGAAACACAGGGTGAGAATGAGAGATTTTACAAAAATAACACCATAAACTAGAGGTCAAAGCACGACAAACCTTTGAATGTAGAGCAGAATGCAAAACTTTCAACTTGGGCATTAATCTTGAGTTTATTTCCGTAGCAGCTGCAATGTGCATTACCTGGAGAAAGAAGGAAATGTAGCATAAGTAAAGAGGCAGCTCAAAACCTGCCATGCAAAGCCGAGGACAAATAAGTTGGTGTATGTGAATTCTTGAATTTTACAAATATTAATCTAAAGAAGGAAGAAACCGACAAGTTAGATGGGTAATTCCGGCTTACAGTGGGGAATGTGTCATTAGAAGATTGGGATCGGTTCACATGATCATTTGGGTGCACATACTTTTCACCACGCTTATGCCCAAGGATCTCAGCTGCTCTATTAGCAATAACCTGAAAATTTCCAAAGTCACATGATAAGCTAATAAAATTTACTATAGAAATGTTTCTCAAACGAAAACGAATCATCATTCCATTCATGAAGAAATGGATCAAAAAACCAAATCAGAAAAAGACCTCATTGGCATTCATGTTACTCTGGGTGCCACTACCAGTTTGCCAAACGACAAGTGGAAAGTGATCGTTGAGTTCTCCTTCGGCTACTTCATCAGCTGCTTGCATTATGGCCTTCCCAATGGTTGGATCAAGACCATACTCCATGTTAACCTAAAACAAAAAAAAACAATTAAAATGTAAATACAAACACTTCAATATTGATAATTATTAGGATTCGGTAATCAGAATATAGAAGAACCTTAGCAGCACACTTCTTGAGAACACCGAAGGCACGAATAATAGGTTCAGGCATCCGTTCACGCTCGCCCCCTATATCAAAATTCTGTAACGATCTCTGAGTCTGCGCTCCCCACAATCTATATATGTACAAACAGCAAGTATAACTACTTCCCTCTTTTACTTAAAATGTTCTGGTAGTGCGAATGGAAAAAAAAGATAGTTATGAGAGGGAGAGACGAACTTATCGGAGGGGACATTAATGGGGCCGAAAGTGTCCCGTTCTTCCCTAAACGAAGTGGAGAATGATCTCCAGCAGGTGGAGTAACGGAGAGAGGTGGTAGATCCAGCTGATAGTCGCCGGGATACGATATACATCGCCATTACTTACTTCTAAATGAGAGAGATAAAAAAACAAACAAAAAGAAGATTTAATCCAGAGCAATAATAATAATAATAAACCCACAAAACATTCAAGATTAAAACTTTCAAACAAAATGAATTATAAAAGAAAATAGAAATACAAAACCTGAGATCAAGAGTTTAGGACTTGTGAATTGTGATGGGTCAGTCAAAGATTCAAAATGGGGAATGGTGGGTGAGTGGGTCACCCTTGTCGCCGGAGTTGTGGGAGAATTTATGTGTTTTCTGGGTTTTTGGAAGGTAAGCAAAAAAGAAAGAACTGTCTTTACCCCAAAAAAATGAGGGAAAAAAACAAGAACTGTTCTACGGGTAGCTTGTTTGGTCTTGGGCTGCCGTATGGGTCAAAGGTGGGCTATGACGACTTTGTCCGATGAGACTTTTTATCATCGTTTCGGTTTTCAATAGCTATTATCCTCACGTCAATCGAGAACATTTAGGGTCTATTTATTTAGTTGTAATTTGTTTTTTAAAAAATTAATTTCAGAAAATTAATTACTTATTTGAAAAATCAATTTTAGAAATTCAATTATAATGTTTGGATGCTGCATTGTAAAATGTTTTACACTGTTTGGTTAATTTTCCTAAAAATAATTTACAAAATCTATTTTTTTTAAATGTATATATTTTTATATTTTTCTTGTTATTTACATTTTAAAAAAATTTAAATTATTTTATCATATACACATTTATGTCTTTTCTTCTCTTAAATTTTTGAGCATATACATAAAATTATTATCATATATACTAAATTGATCCCAATATTTTCAAGCAAAAAAGTGTTTGTTTTTAACAAATATCAACTTATATTACATGGTTTCACTCATCTAATACAGATCATAACCACAGTATACAAGCATAAAATATGGCTTAATTTTACTTACTTTCCCTTGAAAGAGAAACATATTTATCACCAACAACTCCTTGATTTCTTGGTCCAACGACAACCCTATTCAACTGCAGGAAAAAAAATATGTATTAAAATCCAATCACCATGAAAAGACAACAAAAGCAAAGTAGGTAGCAATAGAACAACAGAAAACAAACAAATAAGCACATTTACAGAAGTACATGAATATATGCATGCTAAGATATTCAATATGTCAACACCATGGTAAAACAACCATCTTCAAACCAGTCTTTAGATGAAAAAAGTGGAAAGGTCATCTTGTTGAAAACATCAATTCTAAACTCCCCTCTCTCCGGTTCCACACTAGTTCATATAAGGTATGAAAGTGAAAATGGAAAGACCAATATCATCTGAAACATGCATATCAAATCTTATAAACAATTGCTATTGAGAAAGGCTAATTATTGACATTTATCACACTGCAACGTTTATAAATAAACATAACATATATAGGCAGGAATCATATGTTCCATTGCAACTTTATTTTTACGAGCGCAACTTCTTGCATTTAGATATCCCTTGAGGTGTTGATTTAGCAAACTCGTTGACAGGTCTAGGGCCAGAATAAATCCTAACATAAATTAAGTTTTAGGGTCATAATATAATGGAAGGGAAAATAGAAGTAGCTACAAAAGCAATGCATAAGTGTCAATGCAAACAAAACAAGGATCCAAAACTCAATTAGTAACCAAAGTAATGAAATCTCACCTCTCCTTTATCAAACAAACGGTACTCATCATCTTCAATGTATGCAATTATAGGGGCTTCCTCTTCACCATCTTCCAGACCTCCAAACACCACTTCTTCCATAGCATTTTGACCCAAAAATTCGTATTGGGAAGCATCATACGAGTGAACATGCCCCGTTTGGTGGGTGTAAAGATCCAAAAAATTCCAACGGAATCTAAGTCCTTTCTATCAAAATAAAAAAAGGGTTGAGGAAACGTAAAAACAAACTTCAAATGGTCGTGATTGTGTCAAGGTTAATCATTTCGATCATTAGCTAATAACTTCCAAATACTTGAAATCTAATAACTAGAGCAATTACCACGGAGATCAAAGAACAAAAGCCCGTAGACAATTGAAATCCATTATGTGAATCAAACAAATTTTTAAAAAAATAACGAATTCCCTTTCAAAATAATAATCGCATGGAATTATGAAGATTCTATCACAAATCCAGAAAAAGAAGTGAAAATTTCACCTAGTAGCAGGTAGCCCAGGATGAAGGAGAACAAAAATCAAGAGGAAAATAAGGGGAAGGATGGAAATTGGAAGGAAAGAATCGGAGCAGGAAGACATTTGAGGAAATGAAAATAACCAGTGAGTTTAGGAAAATGACTTACCAAGAAATAAACGGTAAGTTGTTTTCCTGTGTTTTATTTCATTTTTTCCGTTGACTGTAGTTTGTTTTCCTTTGACCGTGCTTTTTTTTTCCCAACCAAACACCGGAATTGAGGGAAAACTTTTTCCGTAAAATAAAATACCTGAAACAAACAGACCCTTAATATCCTCAATTATCGAGTTACTTGTATCAAATATTCTTAAATTTTATATTAAATTTTAAATTTTAAAATATCTTCAATTAGTTTTATACTATAATATCAATTCAAACACGTGTTTCTATTAATTTAATTAATTATTTAAGCATCAAATGTCAACTTAACATGATATTGAATCATATTCAAAATATATGAATTAAATTTTAAATATTATTTATTATATGAACAGTTTGGAACTGATGCATTAGAAAATAATTTTACTACATTTTGTGACAGTCAAAATTTACATGACAATGAAGGATTGAAAATTCCGATCTTATCGGAATAATATATATAACAAGAGGTTAAATTATAATGAAATAAAATAGGGATTAAATTCAAATAAAATAGAATAGAGATTGATTTCGTAACTCGAGTTATACAAGGATGCATTGCATAATTTAACCAAAAGGATTTGTTACAGTGTTGGGTTGTGGGATAAGATTATTCAAGCAATTATAATTATAGGATAAATGTATGTGGTCAATAAATTAAGAAAAGAATATGAACAAAAGTTATATCGTAACTATCTCATACTTGAAAGTTAATAATTATAAACATAATATCAAGATTGATTAAATAGTTACTTTTGACCATTATTATTTTTTAGAGTATTTTGGCTCCCAAAGTTTCATTTTAAGACAAAAAAAATTATTTTATAGATTAAAACCGTTGGTTAATAAACGGTTAATACTTCAAAATAAGAATATTTCTATCTTAAAATAAAATGTTGATGGCCAAAGTGACTATTTGATTAGACATTAGAGACTTTTTGCCCTAAAATGAAATGTTAAAAGTAAAAAAATATATATATATAAGCCAAAATAACAATTTTAATAAATGTTAGAGAACTAATTTTAGCATTATGACATAATTACATGATCAATTAATAGAATGAATGAACTCTCAATTCTAAAGATTAAACGTCAAATACCAATAATAGTACAACAAAACTTCTAACTCTCAATATGAAAAAAAATACATTCTTTACTCTTTACAAGAAAAGAAGAAGAAAAAGTTAAGAAAACCAAACATGGCAGAATACATTATTTATACAAATTATCTTCAATAAACAAATACGCAACTGGAATTATTATTGCATTTAACTATAACACAAAAATTACAATGAAAGAAAAACGTTATTTGTATGTTGAACACACATTTTTTTCTCGCCCCCTAAAAAATATGAGAAAAAAAATCAGAAATCACTCCAACGTGGTTATAATAGTGTACACACTTGTTATTTTCTACTTCCGATTTTTCGTTTCGCGTCGGCAGCGGCCGGCTGCCTCATGTTTCGATGCAAAGGTTGACCAACCCCATTTGGTAGTTTCTTAGATGGTGATGGCCCTGCCATATGATGTAGATTTTTGCTGCAGGAAGGTTAATGAGCTTTTTAGTAACATGTCGAAAACTTGAAACAATGTCGACAGTATTCAATGTGAGAATATATGGTTACCTCATTTCCGGGTTTTTTGCTGATCTTGAAGTAGGTTTCTTGATCCCATTGGTTATGTTACTAAGTTTGGTTTGAGTGAATTGCCAAAGCAAATCAGGCTCAGATGAGTCACTGGTTGCAGCATCAATATCATCTATGTCAGAACCAGTCATGTTGAACCCGTTGGCCCCCATGAACATATTATATGATTGTTCCGTGCACGTCTTTGAAGAATCATGGAGATATTTCTGGTAAAAGACATCAGACAAGTTCCCATTTTCTGCTTCCCAACATCCTAGGGGGTTTCCTACTCTGTTAATGGCATCTTGCTTGTTCACCATGACCTTATCCACCCACTCACCTGAGCCCGATTCTTTCTCGTCGTCCCTAAAGTTTTGAGCAGGACTGACAACCGGAGGCCAGGGAGGTGAATTCGCTAATAGGTCATCAAGATCAAAGCTTTGCCCCTTTTGCCTCAATGTAGAATTAGTGCACACCTGCAAATGCAGTATAGGTGATCAAATTTTAACCTCTCGGGCTACGGATAAAAGTATGTTATACGTGTATGTTTGTGGAGAATGCATAACGATGTTATGGATAGTCAAGCTTTCTTGAGCATCTCTAACAAACCACCAACACATTGAATTGCTTAAGTTATTCATAAAAGCGAGAAATTTCGAAAATATATATATAAGAACTGTATATTTTCTTTCCATCACCAACTATTCGGAGAGAAGGACTATTGCCACTTTCAGTCACTAGACTGCATATTACCATGAAATTCTGAATTCAACAAACACACATTTGAATTTCCATCCTAATATGATGTGTAAAGCATTATGTACCTCAATGTTGCCCACATTACCCATGGGTTCTCTAGCCACCAAGACATCTCCAACTCGCTGATTAGGATTAAAGGGCAATAAGTCACTAGCCTTTGCTTGATATTTTTCAGAGCTGCCAGATACAGAGTGCCGACTTTGGTCCGTCTCTCCCTCTTTCCTAGCCAAAGCTGCCTTAAGGCTAGCAATCTGGAAGATGATTTCAACAAAAGTTATTAAAGGGAAGAGTATCAGATTTGCCAACTATCTTAAGATAACCATATCAACCAGTAGGTAGAGGCGTATACGATAACCTGTTCTTTGAGTTCTTTAACATCTGAAGTGTCTTTGTTCGCTCGAGCAGCACCAAGTTCAACAGTTGCTACACGCTCTGCAAATTTGAGAGTACTCATAGTTTCACCTATGGCATCAGGTTCAGGGCTTATGTGAACAAACATTAGTGTCTTGGCCTGCCCTCCTGAAAATACAATTCCAGCCCAATATAATTAGAACTTTTTGGAGAACAAATATCAATGCAACAATCAAACTCCTAAA